TTTGGATATAAATACATGCTAAGTTCAGGCAAGGAATGCGCGTCAACAATATGTAATCGACCAGTTAACCAAAACCTATACAATCTCTTTATAAATTACTAGTCAAGGTGATGGGTGGGTATCCAAAATGCCTCCCTTTTTTTTTCTTTCTTTCGTCTGATTAACGTTTTTATGTTATTAAAAATTTGCCTACACATATTGCACACATATCTATGTTTATTTTATGATTTTGCATGCCTTATTCATTCAGATTTCAACAACGGTTTGTTAAGTTCATTTAAATGAAACTTGTGCGCACTATAATGGAACTTATTATGTTTTTGCTTAAATTACTTTTTATTTTTTTTTCTACTCGCATTGTTGCTCTTTTTTTTTTTTCTTTTCTCATTATGCACACCTGACTGTTACTACTAGTAGTGCGTATTTGAAAAATTATTGTGTGAATATATTTTTTTAATGAATACATTTGCATACGTTAGCGCTAGCATCAAGTTTAAGGCGTTCAGGTGGAACTTTCACAAACATATATAATAATAGAAAATAGATGTTAAAATCGTTGTTTTTTTTCAAATTTTTATAGAAATTTTTGTGATTTTGTTGAGGGTAGTACACCTTGAAATTAAGTTCCATCTAAGTCGTTATCGCAATGCTTGCTGTGTAGTAAAATAAGGATTGGTTTTATCTATCAATTAATTACTTTAACGAATTTACTAAATGTTTTTTTTTTTTTTAACGAATAACAGGTGCTTTTAGTTTTAGTTTTAGGAGTATTTCGAAACGAACTCCTATTTTGATGAAACACTCAAGTTTGTGCATTCAAGATCGCAGCATTTTTTCAATAAATGGGTTTTAGATCGCATGTAAATTGTATGTCATCCATCGCTTTCCAAAAACTCAAATACTTTTTCTTAATTAATAACAATGTTTTGTTATACTTAACTGTATTGGCAACTCTACCGGGCTTGAGATTTGAACCCACGACCATTGATTTATTAGTCGAGATGCTATGTTGAAGAATGGCTTGCTGAAATGAACTTATCGCGGCTTTCATTAAAGATCGAATGGATCGGTTAGTGGATTGTATTAGTCATTGTGGAAACTCTTTGGTTTCTTCCGAATTTGCCTTTTCCAAGATTTGCTTTCACTTGTTTAGTCAATGAAATGTGTTGTCTGTTAGTAAATATTCAGTACAAAGTCTAGTGTAAGATTTCTTATTTCAGTTTTTGTGCTTATAAGAACCTCGATCGGTAAGAGATAAGCGAACATGAGTTTAAAGAATCTTCGTTTATTGTTGCGGCTACGAAAATTTCAAGAAAACGTAGCGGGTGAACAGACGCAAACCCTAATTAGGTTTAACATGTCTAATCAAAAATATTAGGCACGTTCAGGAAGTTCTTGCCGATATCCAAGAATTAAATAATATTGTGCATTCTTCCTGTTAAAGTAGTACCTTTAGGCTTAACCGAAAATGAGGGTGAAATATGCCAGTTGTCCTGATCCCCATTCAACATGATAACGTTCAGCCTAATTTGTCAAGCCAAGGCTAGACAAACTGCGAAGGAAACGGCACGAAAATGTAGAAAGAGTTGAAATAGTTGAATTCATATCTCGGCCTCATATCTACTCAAGGTTTGCCGTTATGAAACTACCCTAACATATTTTTGACGGAGCTGGACTAATATATTTCTGGGAATGCTTTTAAAGTACCATGGAAACTGCAAAGATAAGTGATAGCGCGTTGGAAATGCGAGAAATCAACAGCAAAGATTTATTTAGTTAGCGCCTTTGGAGCGCTGAGCGAACTCTTCTGTCAGTGAGCCTAATCCTCTTTTAAGCTAACCTAGGGCACCAAACGCGCCTCAAGCAAATATGCGAAGCACTGAACTGGGGTGTGCTCCCCAACCCATTGTTTCCATCAGACACTGCCTTCTCCGATAACTATAATATTCGTTTGAACCGATTGTTTGAATCGATTGACCTGCTTGAACAACGCCTTTTATTCCGCACACAACTTGCGGTACAAGAGCATATCATATTTAACCTGAGATATATCCACCTATTATTACTTTTCTGTTTTTATTATTATTTTTATTGCACTTGTCGAGATATTTTGATTAAATTTTATACACTTACATATTTTGTTCCAAGAACGAACACCAATATGAAAATGTTTCGCATCGACCGCTTCGAATATAAGTGTGAAAAATTCGATTGTATAACGGCATTAAGCGAAGTTTAATGGCTACCCGCGTCCGACTGTGGCGTTTTTAGTTGTTTTTATACGATAACTTCAAAAGATAGGTCCTTTCGCCTTTTGATGACCCTCTGCTTATATCGATAGAGTATGAATACCGACAGCAACGGATGAACGAACGCCTCTGCAAATAATGTTTCTTTTGGTATATGTACGATTGAAAATTTGATATTGAATATAAAATTAAACAAAAAAAAAAAAAACAAACACGAAAAGTAAATAAATAAATGAAATAAACTTTCGCCAACGACAAAATTTAAGTGATCTTAAATTGTCAAATATATGTGTTGACGCTTTTGACGTTGCTCGCATTGAAAACCTTGACCAAAATTCGCATAATTGCAATAGATTTTAAGTCAGAATAACAACGACAACAACAACAACAAAGATAATATTATGTTAATTGAAAACAGTTTGTTAATCATTCTAAAAACGAAAACGTTATAGTAATTAGTTAATATTTTCTTCTTTTTGTTTATTTTGTGAATGTTGTTAAGAATTAAATAAAATTTTAAAATCAATAGTTTCTCGTATGAATTAACGGTAATTAACAAAAAAATAATGATGGAAATGATTGGAAATGAATTAAAAGTGATTACAAGTAATTATAAAAATTTACTTTTTACTTTGCTGTTACGCATACATACATTGCTATTGTATATATTAGATATTATATGCATATAAATGCGTATGCATATATATGATGAATTCCTACGTAAATAGATGAACTGCAACATGCAAATAGTTTTATGTTGCGTACATAAAACAAACACAATTTGTGCTTTGGATGTCTGCCAGGAATTCAACATATATTGTCTTGATGTTATTTATGGTTTAAAAGGTGTGCTAATGTTCTATTCTTGGCTTATTTTCGTTTACTCTAGTGACGTGTACACATTTATACACACAAACATATTCACCGATCATTACATTGCGTATTCTTGCAAAATTTGCATGCAAAACATTTTTATTCGCTTTAGGACGAACTTCAAGCACCCATCAGTTGGGTGTTCATTACCCGGATATGAAAGGTCAATTGATCCTTCCAATGCTTTAAATTAATATCTCGTATAGTTACCTAGTTATTGGTAATAAAAATAATTATGGTTGTCTTCTAAGACTTATTTTTACAATATTTTCCATTTGAAGCAGATGTATAAAGCAAGGCTCTCATAAAGTTAACCACTTTAGAAACCGGAGGAATAATGTTCGACGTATCTTGCCTTTATAAGCATATCTGACTCCGAGTAGTTAAAATGTTTCACAGAGAGTGTCAAGAAGTCATGTTCGAATATTTAACATAAACCACTACAGAACGCTATCAATATAATAAAAACTATAGATTGTTAAATTTTAGCGTGAGCGTTCCTGTCATAAAGTCGAAGATTATTGGACACTTGAACACTCTGTAAAATAATGCTGTATCCGTTCACCTTAGCTGTTGCCTGAACCAAGTTGCAGCTGATAGTTGAGAGCTCTTGTCGGCTCGCGCTCTGGCCGTTAAGCAGAGATAGCCTGCCTCTTAGTCGGGAGGGCGGTGTACGCGTGTACGATTACACGAGATCGACCAAAACAAAAGGAGGCATAAGTTATAAGGCCTTTTAAATTTGTTGCGATTAGTGTTACTTTTTTGGGTCAAGCATTTCAATGACCTTCGTGGCAATATTCAAGGTTATTACTTCCTTAAGGCTGGTAACGTATTAAGAGCAATGTTTTGAAATTTACATAAAAAAGTTGTAAACTTGGTCACAGCCGGATCCGTAGTCATAGGTTATGTGCGTAATTTGGCTTTGTATTACAATATAAAGCAACCAGTGAGAAATTGTCGACCACCGGTTCGGTTGAACAACTAAAACGACAGACAGCTTTGGGCGTGTTTGAGATACTTTGCGCTCATTTAAAATTTCTTCTCGGCAGTCATGAAATAAAAAACACTGCGGAACATTGTTGAGTATATTAAGTTTGCGGAAATGCGATATAATTAAAAGTGGATCTTCCCACGTCTGACTGTTCGTCCGCCTATCCGTTTTACGTTATCGTATTCAAACTACAGGGTTGATGATATTTTGACCCAAGTACGAAAGGTACTGAAAATGTTTCGGATCGGCACCAGGCAACTTTCGATGCCAGATAAATCAGAGTTTCACGTTATTCAAAACTATACCTAGACTTTATAAAATCTCTTATGTACATTTGTTGATTATTATTACCAGCGAAATCACAAAGCTAGCATAACTTTAGCGTTGCAAGGTGGGTGTAGAAATACCATGCATGTGGTAAAATGGAAAAAAACGTGTGCGTCTAATTGGTTTTCTTGTTTTTGTTTTTTCTGCCGTCACACCAAATTAACATGACTGTTTGACTCGTCCGGTTATATGTTTTACATACTTATAAGTTTCCAATAAATACGCGCGTAAATGTTTGTGCACGCAAATAACGTATATAATTGGCAATCACATGTAATTTTTTTATATTTGCTTAACTTGTGTTCAACATGCGTTTGCAAAACAGAAAAATATTACTGTTTAATATATTTGTTTACATTAAATGGTGGCCAAGTCGATGCACGCGTCTTATACATAAAAAGCAACGATTTAAAATTAAAATACACAATATCCATTATAGGAATATTAAACTAAAATTTAAAAAATTTGCTTAGCTATTATATAATAATTGCTTAAAGAACATTTAATTTGTAAAACATTTTCACTAATGATTTTTTGCATTTTCACTTTTCTTTTTGCAGAGGAACAAGAACGTGTTCAAAAGAAAACATTCACTAATTGGATTAATTCATATCTTTCGAAGGTAAGGGATTTATTGAAAGAAACGTAAGTAATTTGTATGTAATATGTATATACGCCTCGAGATAAATTTTCGATAAATATAACGTCGAGCACATATGTGATGAACAAACGACTGTCTTTATTATTTGTAACCATGCTTGTGAATCGATCAAAGCCATAGTCGGGCCGACTTTTTTCAAGTCTTTGCGAATTGTTTGAACATAAATTAACGCAAAGTCACCTTTTATGCATATCGTAGCATGGCATTAACAATAGTAATTTGAAAGCTAAGATCTTCTTCCGGAATAATTATCAATATGACTAATTTTTGGTACCCATCACTTCTACCCAGTCCAATAGATATAAGTACAGGCTGTGAAAAGGTTGGATCTGCTGTGGCAATTTATTGAACCTCCTCTCGTATAACCGTTCTTACGCAAAGTCAATCTCTATACGGTAAGAGTAGTTAATTGGCATTTAAATCTATATTTTAGATACCGTCCGTATATGAGCATTCTCAGGAAATCCGAACCCTTATATGTCAAAAAGGTCTAATCGTGATTGTGCATCCTAGGGGCAAAACATTACAGTTTATCAAATTTCATTAAAATATCTCAAAAATTGCGACCTGTAGCTAGAACATAAATTTACATGGGCAGACATCAGACGGACAGACGGACAGACAGTCTTAGATCGATTCAGAAAATGGTTCTACAAATGGGTTTGTATCCATACATACAGACATACTAGATTTGCAAAGTGCTATGAAAAAAATAGTATGCCATTTATTCTTAAATACCAAAACCGTATTAAAATTTTTTTTTTTTTATTTACGTTCAATTACGAGACTAATTGATTGAAGCCTCTTTACTATCGAACGCTTACTAATTTATTATAAGCTATTAAAAGCCTTCGAAAAACATTCTAATTTACAATTTTGATAAAAGCCGTTTTGGACAAGAATTCGTTTTCTTGAAACGTCATAGTAAAGCTTTCACCGGCACACTTTTAAAGATGAAATTTTTGTACTCATAACCCAGAAAATGAAGGTGCGTTGATTTGTCTTAACGTGTTCAGTACCTAGAAATAAATATTAACGACTTAATGCATTTCATTAATAAGCTTAATCTCTATATGTTTATATATATATATATCTATATAAGGGTGCAAATATATTCTGTGCATTCTTTCATAAAATGCGACATAGTTAATATAGTTGTTGATAATCGAAATGTTTACATATGAGATGCAATTAATTAATAACATTAATAACTTAACAACTGTGCACTGTGGCGATAGTAATTTGTTAGAAAGAAACCCATCAACTGCAGACTGATAAGTGGAGTAATTAACGACTCGCTCCTATATAGACTGCGGTTGCATTGAGTGATATATAAATTAAATTTTACTAAAGCAAATATGCGAACCTAAGTGTTGTAAGCGAATACCAGATATTTTCCCAAAATTTGAGACGACATTAAGCATAAAATTTGAATTTGAATATTTTAGCAAAATCTGAGACTGATTTTATATACTAAAATGGTATTATAAAAGTTACAAGTAAATTATTACAGTTAAATTATTATAGATTAATTAAATTGATTATTTGAATTTTTTTGAAATTTTATTAAATTTTTGATTTACTAATTTTCAATCAATTAATGAAATTTTATGAATGTTTATTTGTGTGTACTTATAAATTAAATAAGATATAAATATATTAAATTAAATTAATTAATTTTAATTCAATAATTATAGTGCAATATTAATATTCAATTAAAATGGTATTATAAAAGTGATAAAGATAGGCTAATAATTATGAATTAAATCTATTTTTCAATTATATTTTTATTCAATTTTATTAATTATTCAAATGGTTTTATTAATTATAAATTAATTAATGAAATTTAGAAATATTAATTTATATGTATTTGTAAATTAATTAAGTATAATAAACTAAATTTTTATAAAAATGATATTATAATTATATTAAATTAAATATTTATAATAATTAATAAGTAATTTGTTAATTTTAATTTAATAATTATAATTATATTCTATGTATGTTTATAAAGGTAAAATTTAAATTTAATATTTTATAATTTAAAACAAAAATTAATTAATTTGAAATAATACGATAATGAGAAAAAAGTATTTTAAGGTTTCTTAATTTTTGTGTGTATAAGTTATAATTTAAATGATTATTATTTCTATTATAGTCGCAGTAATTAATATTGTTAGTTGAGGAAATTTGGATATAGTAATATGGAGTAGTTTTTGTTTTCAATCAATAAATTTTTATGTCTATATATACTACATGGAATGAAAAAAATCTTCAAACAGGTACAACAAACGCATAAAAGAGAAAAAATAATAATAATATGAATGCAGTTAAACTTGTCGAAATACTGAATATAGAATAAGATAAATTGTTTGCGTTTTGCGTAATTTTGTATACGATTTTTTGCGTTAATTTCATTTTAATTTATTTTATTACTTTTTCGCTTATGTGTAGATGCTACAGGCATTTTTGTGTTTTCTTCTTTTTTTTTTTTTTTTTTTTGTTTTTTTAATAATATATATATAGTACTGTACGTGTTCACCTTGAACGTGAGCGTCTTAAATGGCGGAATATAAACTAAGCAAAAAACTGAGCTGAAAACGAACTTTGTGACATACGTTGTTGTTTATGGGTAGGTCTGGCTCCCTCGACTATAAACTCGCCGAAATACTTGACGCAGGAATACTTAACTCGTCCATCAATCTGCTCGCTTCTCTGCCGATCATCTATTGTCGCGTATGCGTACGATTGCAAAAACGCATCTAAAAAACCGAAGCTTGGTATTTATAAATTTAGATGACCGTGATTAAAACCATGATTAAAGTGCAATAGGCAAAAGGAGTGCAACTTATTCTGAAACCTTCGTACAGATATATTTAAAAAGTTGGCAAAACTCTGACTGACTGACATCTGTGCCAAATTTTGTACGAATGTTTTTAGTAATTAATGATAGATTCGTGATTGATTTCGTCTAAAACGTGCAAGGTAATCGTTTGGATAAGCCGGTACGATTTATTACTTTTTGATCACAATACGCATATATGCATAGCATAAGTTGAATGCAAGGATAGTTGAGATAGCATTGCGGCAACGCCAATAATACATTCAATAATAATAATTTCTAACGCGTACTAATAATATCCTAATATCTTAATATTACATTCAATATCCAAACCGTGACATACATATATCCTTTTCTTGCTGTTTACGAGAAAACCCATCGATTTCATTTGGCGGGCGGATAGGTTTAAATATTAATGGTGATCAAGAAACGGTGTAAAAAGCATTGAGAATGTCCCAAATGTCCCGGTGTCATCTAAAAAGGTATTTGATATCGGGAAAATATGCAAATACGCTGACTCTTACTTTTATACCCGCTCAAAAGGTATGCGTTTCATGTACCGATTATATTGTTTAAAAGTCGTTTATACCATTTCTTAAAACGTTTTAAATGGCAATGGCTCTTTGGAATCTGAAGTCTTAATTTATATTTATACCACATGTATTTATTACGAATTGTTATGATGTGAAGCAAGTCAGGAATATTTACTTCTATCTTAAAAAAATCAAAACAAAAACTTTGCGCGTAGAGTTTCCTATGATTGTGCAAAGCTGGAAACCTACAATTCGATTTTGCCACCAGGGGAATGTTTGCCACAGACGGACGGACGGACGGACGGACGTGCTGTGCAAAAGTTGCGGGTGTTGCAAAAGTTTTGAGAATGCGAGCATGCCCTCTCCTCTCTCCTGCATTATTCAGTGATGGGTAAAAAAAGAACAACACGATCAAGACACAGATGTTGTTTGACCATTCAAAGACAACAACTAAAGCATTGCTCATCTGTTTTTGTTTTGGAAGTTTCTATATTATGCAATGAATATTGGTTATTAACGCTGCGTATGTTGTTGAGTTGAAAGAGAATTGTACTTGATCATCTACTTCTAGCAGGCAGTATGATAGGTTCCGTCACAGACTATGAGGCGAACCGAAGTGATTATGTTTAACTATACAAAAGTTACCTAAAATTTGCTTAAATTCCAATGCAACCGCAAGATTAGAAGATAATTTAATTAGGGAACTTTTTACTGCATCGGTACAACTTTTATTGCTTATAATTCGCATCAGGCATGATTGCATTACCACTTTTATGGATCCTGGTCTTAGTCTCAAAACAGTTTCAAAATCATGCCATATAAAACTTATCCAATCAGAGGATAAGTTTACAGTGTATGCAATCAAAGTGACAGAAATTCATTGGAAAAAGGATACAAATGCCTGTAAAAATCGATTTGTTTTATTAACATACTCGTACAGTAACATACTCGCAACTTTTACATCCGAATGCACAATAATTTGTCGGATTGTGCATAAAACTGCGTTACACACAAGGGAAAAATTGTAAGAAAAAGGTGAGCTAATAATCATGTGTAACATATTGCAGCAATACTAAAAATTGTATCGGAACTTGTGACGAACTTGACGTATTTATAAGGAAAACTAATAAACCTATAGTAAATACTTGGTCGCTTGAAATAAAAAAACAACAATATCTTTAGGAAACAATAAAAATTCATTTATGAAAAACCTACATGCACGCCATTGCATTGCAGTAAATAAATATTTTAAACAATATGTCTGCAAGTAATACCGGTTGAATATGACTGACTGCCGATGCAGATACAGATTGTGATCACTTATAAAAAAAAGCTATGCGAAAGACATGCACGTGCATAGTGTTCAACTGGATAAGAAAGCAAAAAAGCGACATTTCACGTTTTTTTCGTATAAGTTCTGCGGTAGACTGAGATTATGCCAAAATTATTTAAAGGCGATATGTAGGCTCAAACATCGTATGCGATGTCAAACATGAAGTGCTATATATACACGCGACGTGTGCCCTAACCTACCACCATTTTTTAGGTACATGCTGCCTTGTAATACACACTTTATCAAATAAACGCCTTTACTGCCACCATACATGTATTTAAAAGTATGTAACAATGATATTTTTTAAGAGTTCCCTTCTGCATAATGAATTCCTTTAGCTGTATTATCTTCAGCGATTATGGCGTGGCATTAACTTAGTTGTTTCACTTGCAATTTCAAGGAGAAAATTATTGCGAATTGGCGAAAGCGACAGGATAGGCTTTGCCAGGTTTCTCTCATTTCCCAACGCAAAGTGTTTCCCCTCGCTTGCGATATGTGCTATAGGGCCTGCTCATCGCTATTTTGATCGAGTCTTGGCACACGAAGGACTTCCATAGTTAATAATGCTTGCTTTCCTGAGTCTTTTTTTTCCTTTAAAAGAAGGGTTTTTTCTTTCGTAGTTCTCTCAATGTGGAAAATCATGAAAGCTAAATTGAAGAGCATAGTAAGTGTTCCGAAGCGTCGATTTCTTGTATGTCATGTTTCGAGAAGTCTGAGATTTTACGAAAAATCTAACCGATAGCATCCATATACCTTACTGGGTACATAGATATGGGAATGATAAGAATACTAAGAGTATGTGCTTTCCTTATATGGGCATATAACTTAAGCGCTTAAATATAATTTTACGCTTTCTCTAAAATGCCAAAAAACGTCGTCTAATAACAATATTAAGCAAGCAGGCGTCGGTACGTTAGCAGTTAAACTTCGACTAAAGAAATTTTTTTTGCTATAACTCTTTTGTTGTGTTGTAATAGCTGTGAAGTGGGTGCACCAAAACTTATTTATGAAAAAATTCCATTAAATAAGCAAAACTTCATGTATGGCTACCAATTTGTCACGCTAAGCGTTTTTGAAATAGAAATGTAAGGCACGGTGAACTGGTAGACATTTATTCGATGTTGAATTCCAAAAATCAATAATTCCCGGAACTATGCAAGTGATTCAAAGGCTTCTCCCTAGATATTACTTGAAATTAGGAAAATATAATACTCGATGAGAGCCCAATGGGAAGAATATGGTAGGCGGGGCAGCAATTAATGTTACGACTTGTGCAACTTTGATATTGTAGTCATCGACATGCGTTCCGGTGCATTTGCTCCACTATGAATGGATGCGATATCCATTTGGTAGAAAGTATTTCTTATGCCCAAATTTTCATATCTTTTGATGTCTTTAGACTGCCAGCTATTTATTACAATTTCGTTTATGATTTTTTTGCCACTGCGACCAGCATTGCTGATGTTAGGAAGAGCTTTCTTAAAATCAGTCCCTCTCCAATAAATTGTTGTTTTCGGCGAAATGTTTACTCAATGCACGAAATTCGAATTTTGCCAATGTTTTGAAAATAACATAAACCGTTGAAAGCGCTTTATAAAAATAGTGTGGATTTTTTGCCAAAGACATTTATAACTCAGTTCCTGGAAGTATTCACCGGTGTCTTATCCGGTTTACCAAATACTTAAGCTCACCGAAATATACTCTGGAGATCTCATAGCATGCAATATTCTTTATCAGAGTAAAAAGCGGAATCGATTTAACCATAATTGGTTGTATGCTGCTCGATCAAGAAATTTGGGCTCAACCTTTAAGAAATTGTGAAGAGTATCGAGCGTAAATCAAAGATAAGCTGAAAGGTATTACACAACACCCTCAAATTTATTAAAATGGTCATATGCACCAAAAAATGCAATCAATCTATAGCAAAATTGTATACTTGTGCTTCGAAGTTGACATTTCATACACCTGACCGCAGTGTGCTACGAACTCTTAGGATCTGCTGAATCAATCAATGCCGCAATGCTTATAAGCATTAATCACTGAGATTAAATGGAGGCGCTCATAATATGCTTAATTTACCAGCGCAACATTTCTCAACTGGTTTTCAACTTATTTCTAAACAAGTTAAGAAAACTTTTTAGTGGGTTGAATGAGAAACCTTATCATACCATCCAGGTGTTATTCCTGTTAGCGACGAAAATTTGTTTGTACAATCGCATATATGTATGTTTGCATTGTTCTGAGATGACAGAGTAATGTTTTTCTCTTTAACCTATGCACACGAATGTTAGGGGAATTCGATGATCCATTATTTATATTCCGAACAGCATTAAGGATTAGTGAACCATTCACAGGGTTTGTTGGAATTTTTTCTTAAAAGCCCACCGTCATTCAGATTCTAAAATTAAATCACCAAGCAGTGTGTTCATGGTATACAAAGAAAAGAAAAAGACAAAATACACACTATAAATAACATACAGAATTTTACACGAAAGAAAGCCGGCCGGCTAAAAAATACAGAAAAAACATAAATAAAAACAAACGGCCAAGATGATAACAATGCAAAAAGTATATAGATACATATATATATATACACGTACATATGTAATTATTTAAGCAAGCTGGCAGTCAACAACATACGGCCGTTTGTTACCGTATCTATGCTCGTGTGTATATCGCCAACAATGAAAAATCTCTGGTTAACCACGAAAAGGTGTAGGTAGGCAAACGGGCAACATACGAGATTTATAAACAAGGTCTTGGTAATTTGTTATTAGCGTAACTTAAATATGCTTAAATATATTGTTGTGCTTCGATGTGTTTGTGTATTATTTACTTGTATGCTATTATATATCTGCATTGGATATGTACGAACAGATATGAACCCGCTTTTGGGGCCATTGGAATACATATAGTTACTACTTTATTTAAATGGCTTCTCAAAGGCAATAGGTGGATGGCATAGTCATAAAAAGTCATAAAGAAAAAGAAACACATTAACTCATTCGCTCACCATCTAGTCAAGAAACGTAATTCTTATGTTGCTGTGCAGATATGTTATGCAAGGTATTTAGTTTGCAGAAATATCTCACTTGTTTGTTCGGTCGAAAACTTAACTCACATTCTTGGAAAGAGAGAAAGACTGTAGAAAATATTTTTGATTCAAATCTTGTTATCGGAAAATACAGTTTTCGGGTAATTCAATGCTTGAATTGTCTCGGAAGGAAAAGGTAGGATTCGTTTCCTAGCGACCTATGACTTTTCCGTTGTAAAAATATTGTTGTTAGCGTTACCCAACAGTATAAGTTATTATGAAGTGTAAACAACACAGATTTTCTGACGGAGAACGTAGGTCGAATTCTCTGCCAGAATGCATTAGTTTTTCTGTTAAATTTGAGGAATAATATGCAAAGTGCAAAGAAATGGGCCGATTAGGCTAACAGTTTACATTGAGAATAAAGCCGATTATCCGTAGGGCCCATATTTAGGGAATCAGTTCGTTGTTAGATGTTATTAAGTCCTTCAACCAAGCAAGAATAGCAATTGATGCAATTAAGCGAAAAACCGGCGCAATAAACCTGCTTTATGACAGTCGGAGTGACATGGAAAAATTTTGCCCTTTCCCATTCCATTCATTAGATAATGCCTTTTCCCATTGACGCTGGCTTTCATTCTTGTGACAATATCCCAAAAATAAGGGCTTACGTGAAAAGTCGTAAAGAAAGTTTTTCTCTGCGTACGATCTGCATACACTGCTTAAAAGAAGTAGCAGCTGCCTACAAGTAGAAAAAATCAACCAAAACTTGTAAGTACATTTGAGACAGTGACCTGAGTGGAAGATGTAACATTTCAAGTGTGATGGAAGTACTTGTTACAGCTTGCAGACTCGGTTCATTCTTGAAAATATGAATTTATCTCTCAAACGAATTAAACAAACAAATCTTCAAAAGAAACAAATATTTCTTAGCGAAAATATATTAGTTACTGTGCAAAATGTTTCTCAGAAGATTAACTTCGCGCAACGGGTCATGTGTCTACACATGACGCATACACGTACGCTAAGAAAGTCAATCTGGTTAGTTATATCCAACACCCTAAAACATTCATCAGAGATCCTATGAAGTTTTTTTTATTTGCTTAAAATCAGAAGTAGACTTAGTCTTTCCGTCTGTTAATAGTCCATTCTTTGTTGTCAAGGTCGCAGAAATCCAGAGAAAAAAAAAGTAAAGTTTGGAGGAATATATTTTTAACAAATTTCAACTTGATCAAAAAATACAAAGAATTTCTTTATACACCTAACGTTTAACTATTTTCAATTAAGTTTTTAATGGCTGCGGTTTCCAATGATTATGATTATTGAACATTTTGTTTTCCTTATGCTAATTTTCTGCACTTACTATCGATCGCATGCAACAAACTTGATAAACTTGTTTAATTTATTTTTGTGTTTTTTATTTTATTTTATTTTTTATTTTTTTTTTTGTGTAGCGTATTCCACCGCTTCGTGTCGATGATTTAATCAACGATTTACGTGACGGTACGAAATTGATTGCTCTTTTGGAGGTGTTGTCTGGTGAACGTTTACCCGTGGAGAAGGGTCGCGTTTTGAGACGTCCACACTTCCTGAGTAATGCTAACACTGCCTTACAATTTTTGGCCAGCAAACGCATTAAATTGGTTAACATAAATCCGGCAGATTTGGTGGATGGAAGACCGCCAGTTGTGCTAGGTTTAATATGGACCATTATATTATATTTCCAGGTAATTATTTACTTTACTTTTCTTTTTTTATTTTAGTAACGATTTATTTTTAAAACATTTTCAAAGCACTTCTTTAAACTGAGCTGAGTGATTGAACAAACACTTATGCTTCCCTATGCAATTAGATAATTTTTCTATGCATCGTTAAAATATGTAGCTTGAAAAGTCACTATTTTTCTAAAATAATTAAATTTTTATAAAACCCTTAAAAATGTAAATCCGTCGTAGACTAAGTAGCTTTTATTAATTTCTCCATTCCGCTTTTTATTACAAATACAATATCCGTCCTAATTAATAACATTTACGAACGATATCGCACAATATCAACTTGCCTCTTTGCACCCTACAAGGGTATATTAAGTTACTATGGATATACATACAACACAAAGAAGGACCTGAGATAGATCCAATCGATTTAGCTTGTTCGTCCGTCCGTCCGTTTCCCTTTTTTGTTTTCAAGTGTGTTGCTTTAATTAGATATCTTGAGAAAATTTTGGATCGGACAACTTTCTCGACCAGTTTCCGTATAATGCTTTATTTTGAGAAGTCATTATACGAATAACTGTAGGATGATGTAGAGTATTTAGCAGTGAGTTGTAACCCACTATTGTGTTTTTCTTACTTAAGAACTGACGTTATTTCTTTTTTCTTCCCTTCTTTTATGAAGTCATTAGCTCTTCGAACTTTTCATTCGGTTACGTCTGTTTTACATTTTGACAATAGTTCGGTACTACTTTTAGCTCAGTTTGTGATGCGTAGATCTAAGTATTTCAGGAGATCATTTAAAAATTTCACTGTCGGAAAGGAGGAGAATGGGAAAGTAGTTCGTTGCGCACTACGATATGCTGGTTGACAATTGGATGTTTTCACCGTACTTCTTTCAGACACTTCGCTATTTTATATTCACATACTTTATTCTCTCTCGTCGAACTTAAATCTTGTAATTATTTTCTTGTCCCCATTGGTGGTTTTTCTTTGTCATATACCAATGAGTATAGCAATCCTCCAAAGTGAACTAAATCCAACAAACTTCATCGAAACACTTGGAAGAAAATTTCTCTCTCTCTCTGCTTCCAATAAAAGTCTAATAATGTTCCAAAAGACCTCTGATTTTTGTAATAATGGTAATGTGGTAGCAAACTGCGTAAAAATATACTTTCAAATGTCTTGCATCCGTAGATAGCACGGTACAAATGGATTTCTCTCAATCTTGCAACAAAGGATTGTGCAAAAATTCTTTTTTAATACCAATGACAGCTTGTTAAACTTTGGTCCAAGTCTCCTGTTTTAATTCTTTCACGTAGTTATCATATGCGTTTTACACATAAGAGCCATTCTCGTATCGCTTACGAATGTGACTGCAGGAAATAAAGTGGGTGTAGAATAAATTCTATAAGAACTCTTATTAAAAACCATCTACATCAACTCTACCCGCTCGGTTTAAAGCGAGATATTTTTCTAAACCAATATTCAATGATATTCTATACGGCAGTCAATTATTTCGGAATTAAGAAAGCATTTTTTGTTTTTTTCTTTGCAAAATTTGATTTTATTTGTCGACACATTGTCCTTTAAGGGTGACTCCATCAATCCAATACTTCTCTAAAATTTCAATGCTTTTTTTATAGAACGATTTACCAACACCATCCCAAAATGCATATATTCTATTGTAAACAGGGAATAACAGCTGGGTCTGGGGGAGGTAAAGAATCCGCTACTGGCATAGCAGCAATAGCGCTGACGCAATACGTTCGTTCCACTGTGCTCAGGCGTTCGGAAAACATCTTCATGCTCATGTCCAGGTTATTATGCAAACTATGTATATAGAGCCTTTTGATATCTTTAGGACATCAGCTCTGTCCTAGCACTTCGCTTTTCGTTCAACGAAATAACTTTTCACTATTCCTCTGAGGCTTTTGTTCAATATAGTCTGTTATGGGATAAACAAATAAAAAGAATCTTTTTTTTTTGACATCTCAGTAGCCGATTTGCTATGCGAGTTTATTAAAATGACCCATTTTTGACCACCACGGATAAGAGATTGTGTGTCATACTTTTAGCTACCACTGTAAACAAATTGGGAATTCGGAATAGATTTAAGCTCTTCTCGTATGGATTACACATTTTGAATATACAAGCGGTACGTTAGTTCTATTTAGTTTAAAAGTCATCCTGTGGTCGATGATAGTTAAGTTATTGTCAATATATTGAAGCATTGATATCTTTAACGTAATTTATAGAGGGAGTAGCGAATAGATTCTACGGCGGATTCAATCATCGCGGGGTACATAAATACTGTTGATTTGCATTTGTTGCTCTCATTGTTGTCTTGATTGTTGATATGTGTGATTTTTATTCTGTTTTTATCCTATTTACGCAAGCTTCGTAAAAAGAGGCGGAAAGAGTTAGTTGTAGTAATAAATTATAAGCCACAGGTAATAATTTCTTTTTGATAATTTCAAGATCGTTATGTTGTTATTTTTTGTTTTTTGAATTGGTAGATTTTTGCGTTGCGTATTATATTGATTCCAAAATATTTATTCTTTTCACAAGTATATACTGCAACTCCTTTCCTTCCCTCTCTTCTTAAGTTAAGTTAGTTAAGTGTACACTCTGACGTATTACTTAACTACTTTTGTGTATTATTTTTCGAAATTTCTAGATTGAAGAAAATAGTCGGAATCTTGAATACTTGAGTCAGGGTATTAGCGGTTCGGTTACTTCTCTGGATAGTGTAGATAAAGCCTCTGGCGATGCTAGAGCTGAAAAATGGAAACAAGGAGCCAGAAAAACATTATTAAACTGGGTTACAAACGCTTTGCCAAAGTAAGATCAACTTTTTTTAACTTGAAAAGTTCGTAAGCAATGGTCAAATTGTTATCTATTTTAAACAGAGACAGTGGTGTAGAAATTCGAGATTTCGGCGTTAGCTGGAGAGATGGCGTCGCTTTCTTGGCTCTAATTGATGGAATTAAAGCAAATCTGGTTAATTTGGTAGAGCTGCGTAAGACCAATAATCGCTATCGCTTGGAGACTGCCTTTGATGTCGCGGAAACAAAACTTGGCATAGCAAAATTACTTGACGCTGAGGATGTAGACGTACCTAAGCCGGATGAGAAGAGCATCATGACTTATGTGGCTCAATTCTTGCACAAGTACCCTGAACCAAAGGTATCCTGACATTAATTAGTCTTCCTAAAATTTTTTGCTTTAAACTTCTTTTTATCGATTTGTACAGGGTGCCAGCAAAGATTTCTCTCATATCAATCAAGAATTAGATGAACTACGTCGCTTTTTAATAGAGAAATCAGATGAATACGAGCCCATGGTTAAACTAAACTCATTTCCTCGAGACTTCTCTGAGTATTTGATTGCTCGTTCAGAAATCGATGCGCATATACCAACGTACAATCATTTGAAACAATTCGTGGACACTCAGAGTGGGTTCTTACAGGTGCCACGTTCGACTTGGGAAGATATCAATAGCTTATGGCAACAAGTCCAATATCAAATGATGTATTGGCTTTGGCTTTTAGATTCGGAATTGCCTGGCGAGTTTGGTATCGTAGGCAAATGGTTAGCTGAAGCTGAGAAAATCCTTATGGATAATGAAATTCCGTCTGCCATGAATGAAGAGACTGCTGCTATTATAAGTCGTAAACTAGAAGAACATAAATTATTTTTTGCCGATCTACCAAGAATTATGGCCATGTTTGATAACGCGAAGCGTACGCAATTAGCTCAACAAATTCCTTTAGAACAATTGCATAATATGGAGAGACGCTTGCAAGAATTAGGCCCTAAAGCAGCTGAACGTAGAATACGTTTGAAATTCTTAGAGCATAAATGCTGTTTAATTGCTTTCTTAAATCTTGTGGAAAATAAAATGAAAGGTTGGACCGGTAAATACGGCACTCAAGAACGTGTATCGCAACAGCTGGAACAATATAAGAACTTTGTGTCGCGTAATAAAATTTTTCAAGAATTTCAAAAAGCCTTCATTGATATGCAACAAGTAGTTGAAGAGTATAAACGAGAGGGAAACATTTTACGCAAAGAGGTGGTCGACATCGATCGTTTTATGTACGACATTGAAGAAAGATGGAAACGTGTATCTATGGAGTTGAAGTGCTGCCAAAACTCTTTGGAAGAAGTGGTCAATTGCTGGAAAACTTGGCATCAATTGGCTCCGGCATGCGAACAATGGTTACACGTAGCAGAACAGAATATTAAACGGTCTGAAGACGAGCGCTTAGAATTTTTCAAAGATATTGGTGTATGGAAAGACAAGTTTGATGCCCTCGCAAACGCCGCTAATTATTTAATGGCATCTTGCGAAGAACCGATATCGAAAAATTTGCGTCAACAATATGAAAATTTATCAGAACGTTTTGAACGTTTGTTCGTTAACACCAAGAAATACATGCATGCTGGCGATATTATACGCGCTCGTCAAGAATACAAAACGAGCATTGAGAAGCTTTCGCAATGGCTGCGTTACGCTGAAACTATACTCAGCAGAAAAGTAATACTGGGAAATGGAGAACAAATTGAAAAATATAGCGAAGAATTGCAGCACCTAGCCTCGCAAATCGACGATAACGAAGAATTATTTAAAAATATTAGCCGCAACATCCAAGGTATGATTCAAGATCTATCACGCGACGAAGTCGATGAAATGATGAAATGTTTAAAGCAAGAAAAGGAGTCTCTTGTTCGTATACGCGCTCAAATACCTGCGAAGCTTCACTTAATACATCAACTTTTGATACAACAAGAATCTTTGGAAAGCGGAAAAAAAGAAATTCATCAATGGCTAAATGAGGCCGAAGCCGTACTTAGTAACCATACCGTGATCGGTGGCCGTGAGAAAATCAACGAGGAACTCAATAAGCACAAAACTTTCTTTTCTCGCATTGTTTATTACCGTTCGATGTTGGAGAGCAAGAACAAGGTCTTTCAAAATCTCCTAAAAAATATCCTTTCGGATGAAAGTATTGATATCGAGCAGGCGTCTCAAGAGGTTCAACAGCTAAATGAACGTTTCAATTATGTCATAGACAGCGCCCAACAATGGGAACAACGTTTAAGTGACGCAATACGTAATTGGAATCGATTTAACGAGGACGAGCACGTGGTGTCCGAATGGCTTACACAAGCTGAAGCTATGCTAAATGAAAAACATTTTGAGTCTAAGACGAGCATCGAGACGCAGAAATATTTCTTTGAAAATGTTAACGAACGTTGGATGCAGAATTTGATTGAATCTGCTCATGATTTACTGAAAATGTTACCAACTGAAGAGCAAAAATTGGTAGTCGAACCGATTGAAGTATTACAAGGAAGATGGCAAACGGTTTTAGCTCAAGCACCGTTGCATTTAATAAAATTGGAATTTCGTTTAGACGAGACTGCTTTCTATTCAACGCTGCAAGACATTGAGAAGGAATTGCATTTGGAACAACAAGCTCTTAATCGCAATGAGGAAGTGGACTCAATTTTGCAACGCAATCAGCAATTCTTTTTGCAACAGAACTATACCCCACGTATAGAGAAATTTCTGCAGAATATGCAACGGCTCAATCAAGTTTATAAGCAACAAAAGCCTACAGACCTCAGCCTAGAAGAGGCCTATAATGAAGCCCGTTCTCAGTGGTCGCACATTTCGCATAAAATTTCAGAAATGCGTGAGACACTGCAACAGATTCCAGCACAATGGGACAGTTATCGTGAAAAATTCACCGAAATGGTCGAATGGATGAACATCGTAGACAAGAGTTTGAAAAATATAGTCAACGAAGTAAATAGTATGGAAGAATTTGAGAAAGAAAAAGTAGTTTTCCAGGTAAGTGTCACACAACATCTTAGAAAGATTTTTAAAAACTAATTCAATTTTTTGGCATTTTGCATGCAGCTTAGGGAATTAGTGGTAAATTTTCCAAAAAAAAAAAAAGAACAATTCCTTGTCAAAATTCTTAGCTTGCCTAACATTCCTCTCCATATTTTCACTTAAGCACTTTAGTAACAAAACTTTTTTTCTTCCTGCAGAAAATATGTCAAGAAGCCGACAGCAAACGTGAAGATATGAAGTGGCTTGTTAAAACTCTAGATCATTTATTAGGCTATGCTGGCGAAGATGAAGCCAATGTGGAGCAAAGGAAATTGGAAGATTTGATTGCTCGCTATAAAAACCTAATTCCAACTATAGAAATTACTATGGTGAAAACCGAAGTGTTCTCCAAGTGCTACACCTACCGTCGTGAAGTGCATGAAGTAGTGAACCTACTAAGTAAAGTTCGTGAGCAGGCAGTCAATATACCGGCCCCTGATAGTTTAGAACGCGTGAACAAGTTAATCGAAGAGCAACAGTATGCCATCAATCAGCTAGATCATCAGCGCCCGCATATTATGTCAATGCTGCAAAGAGGACGTGATCTTAGTAAGGACGTTCATGCACCATCTTTCGTCCAAGTTGAAGTGAAGAACTTAGAAACTGGCTGGAATCAAGCGTACACGGAAACTTCCGAAAAATTACATGCTCTGAAAGGCACTCAGGCTATTTGGAATGAATTTGCTGATCAAAAAAGTGAAATTGTTTCCATGTTACATGTAGCCGAAACTGAATTGCGTGCTCTGACTCCTTTGCAAACGGATCCCAAAAATGTCAGCCAAGATCTTAAAGCTAAACGGGAGCTCAATGCACAATTACAGCAAGCCTCCCATCAGTTGCTTCCGAAGTTACACACTCTCAAAGCTGAATTATCGCCCCTGGCAGCTACCGAAAAACGTCCCATACTTGAAAAGGAAGTAACCGAAGTGGAAAAAATGTTCTTTAATACCATGGAACACGTTAAAGATCGCGTAAGTTATTTGGAGGATTACAGTGGAAAATGGAATAACTACAAAGCCCGTTTAGCAGAATTACAAGAATGGGCCAACAAAATAGCTCCCAAATCAATTGAAGCCCTTCATTCAGAAGACCTTACACCGGAAGAACGTATGGTGAAAGTAAACGTATTTAAGGGTGTGCTTGCAGATCGTATGAAACAACTAGATGTTTTGGCCGCTGACGCATCTGAATTGGCTCCCAAAGAAGGTAACGTTGCCGAGGCCAAACGATTAAAAGGAGAAATAAGCAAACTACAGGAAGTTCTTAGTGCCATTAGTCGCAATGTGGACCATCAAGCTCAGGCCGCCCAAGAAGATCTACTTAGTTGGCAACAGTTCCAGACTGGCTTACAGCAACTTAAACCAATTGTGGAGGAATGTGAAATTAAGGTAAATACTATTGTCCCTAAGCCCCTCTCCCTTGAAGAAGCAGTTGCATTGCAACAAAATGCCGAACACTTCGAAACGCTTTGCCTAGAGCAGATTGACAGACTCCAAGGCATCTCGAACATTAGCCATAAAATGTTATGTAAATCCAATGCCCCTGATGAAGTAGATGCCATGCATTCGCGTTGGACGGCAGTTTATGAGAATGCAAAACAATCTAGTGGTAGATTAGAAAAACTTGTATCCAATTGGAAATCGTTCGAAGCGGAAATCCACAAACTAGAAGAGTGGGTAGAGAAAGGTGAAAAAATGACTGCGAAGAAACTGATTGCTTTGAGCACTCCACACATTGATAAACTCGAAAATGAATTGGTACGTTTGAAATCGTTCAACAATGAAATATCTGAACAGCAGGCTAGGTTAGTAGCTCTCGGTCAAACCGCTGATCAAATCAGTTTGCACTTGGCCATAGAGGGTGCCGGTACTCTCAAGGACAACATCAATGTTCTTAAGAGCAAATTGCAAAAATTATCTGAAACTACGCGAACCAATATTAACGAACTCTCAGATGCCATTATTGCGCGTCAAGATTTTAACGCAAAAATGGTGAACTTTTCCAACTGGATGGATCAACTGCGTAATCAGGTGGCCCAAGTTGAGGATGTTAATCCAGAAAGGGTGGAAATTAGTTTGCATGTCATTCATGCTTTGATGCAAGAACATGCTGATAAGAAGCCCAGCTTCAATGCTATTTATGATGAAGTTAAACAACTCTCCCTCTCTGCATCACCCGATGAAGCCATGGCTTTAAACGAAGCTTATTCCGCATTAGTGTTAAACTATCAAAATATAGAAACCAATATGCAACAGAAAAAGGTGTGCTTAGAAAAATGGTCTGAGCTTTTAAATTGGAAACACGAAACCGAAAGTCATTTGAATTACTTGAAACATCAAATCGATAAACACGATGCTCCCGGTTCGCAAGAGCTGAACAAATTAATTATGGAAATTGATACAATCGGTCAATCTATGTCGTACTGGAAAAATCAAGCGAAAGAAATTGAAGAAAATCCTGTCGTACAATTGAAGGATGCCCTTAGTCGCAGACCTCTTATAGCTACTCAAATCGTAAATGACATTGAGAATAAATTAGAGAATTTGCAATTGCGTTCTCAAAACCAAAAGCATCAATTGGAACAGATACAGGTGCGTAAAAATAAATTCCATTCGCTCGAAGGGGATCTTACTCAAGCTCTGCAATCGGACCGTTTAAAATTAACTGAAATTTTAAAGCGTAAACCAAGTCTGATAAGCATAGATCAAATTATTAACGATTTGTTGTCGCTCAATGATGCTCTAAAGCTGCAAGCTGAACTTAAAAATCGTTTACATGACGAAGGCGCCCAACTAATGCGAGAGGACATTACCAGTATGCCTGTCATCCAGGACAGTCTCTTACATTTAGACAAGGATTATGAATCCTTGCAAAGCGAAATCGACGATCGTATTCAAAAATATCAATTGATTAATCAAGCGTTACATGAATATGCCGACATTAAAAATAAATTTTCGCAAGAGCTTCAAAAAGCTACCGATTTGTACAACGCCATACCTGGTCAGCCACGTGACGAAATCAAATTGCATCAAGCCGCAGAAAAAACTCGAAAGACCACGGAACAACTACGTAAAGTGAAAACGATCTTGGATGAATTTGAACGTAAGGGTAACTATGTTGCCAAGCTGTTTAATGCTATTGGAGAAGCAGTGCCGCAGGAAATACCTAATGATTTAACCGTCGCTAAACAACAATGTCACGATTTACATGATAAGACTGTAAAGAATATCCATATGTACGAGACGGAGGCTGTTTTCTGGTCGCAGATTGAAGATGCCAAAAAGGATTTGATTCCCTGGCTATCGGAAACTAATCAAGGTTTATGTGATGCAGCTGATAACAGTATCGAAATTGAATTCGCGCCTGTACGTTTAACTAAATACCATACCGAGTTGCCTTCTTATCAAGCTCTCAGAGATACGGTTATAGAAAAATCCCAAGAGTTAATCAGAATTAATGATAACAACGAAATACCGGCATTGACTGCCTTGAATCAACTATTAAACGATCAATTTCGGGAAGTTGAAAATAACGCGAATCGTTTGAATGCTATTACGACAATGTTTAATGATCATGAACAAGAATTGCGTCAGAAAATTAAATACGTCGGAGAGAATGTTAATAAGTTTAGGGAACAATTAATTAAATGCGATGATTTGTCAGGCGATAATGCTAAAGTTGTTGAACGTTTGCAGAAGTGTCGCATTCTTAATCGTGAACTTTCCAAAACTGGCAACGATATCGATAATATTAAGCTAAAAGTCGACGAACTGCGGGCTTTATATCCAACCTTCAGTGAATCGATAGTTCCAAAAGAATTGAATAATGTACAAAAGCGTTACGAAGGTGTCGAAATGTCTGCCAAGAAAATTGAGAACACTTTACTACAGTTCCTTAAAAAGTTCCATACCGACAAAGTTGGAATGCTAAAGCGTTTAATAGCGACGCAGCGCGAGAAAGTAGCTTGGTGTCAGCCGGAAACTTCTAGTGATAAATATAATTTGGACGTAAAGAAATCTTCACTGCACGAGGTTAGCAAAGCCTTAGACGACTGTAGGAAACGCCAAGCTGAAGTGCAAAATACTTTTGAAATGCTAAAAGCAATTGACACACCCCAAAATATAGCAGAAATGACGAAAGATGTTGACTTATTGAATGCTGAAATGAGAGATCTGGAAAACAGTTTTAATAAAATTAAGAATATTCTGGAAGAAAATGTAGATCTATGGTCCCAATATGAACGAGCTAATGAAGAAATCTCATCGTGGCTGCGCGATATTGAAGCCCGAATTAAGGTTGAGACTAGTAGTCAAGTCAACTTGCAAAATATACCTAAAAAATTGCAGGAATTGACCCGACTTAATCAAGATATTAAAAACCACGAGCCTGTTATTACTGATCTGGAGAAAACTTCGCATCAATTGGTTGAAAAAAATCCTGAAGCTCGAATAGGACAGTTCGTAAACCATCTGGTGCAGCGTTATCAAACTATAACAAAAAGTTTAGCTGCTTACGTGGATAAAATACTTGCTACCGAACAAGCTTATAACGATTATAATAAGGCTTTAGAGGAAGCCACTGAATGGCTTTCTGAGTCTAAAATCGAATTTCAAGAACTGGCGCGTATGGGTTCGCCGGGTTCTTCATCGGCCACCGCTCAGCAATTGCAAACAATTAAGAACTATTTGAACACCTTCGATAACGGTCAAAAGTTAATCAACAATGCCGTAGATATTGGCGAAGGCATCTATCCAATTGTTTTGCCGGAGAATCGAGAGAAAATCCGAACCGAACTTCGCGGCTTACGGGAAAAATTCGACTACTTACGTGATGAAGCCAACGCTTTACTGCAGCAGGTAGAAGCAGTACTTATACAAAAAACAACAATTGAGGAAAGTTACACCCAGGTATCACATTATCTTAATGAATCTAAGGCTAAAGCGAAAGCAACTGACGAGCTTTATCCGACGCTAGCTGCGAAAAAGTCAGCTTTGCAAAATTACAAGATCCAGCTACAAGAAGCCACTCTGCATAAAAATGCTCTCAAGCAATTGCAGGAAAAAGCAGTGGCCTTGTATGACGACGAATCTGAACGAAAAACCGAAGAATCTATACATGAGTACAACGATCTCTCTAGACATATTGCCGAACGCATTAACGTAGTCAGCGATCAAGTTGTGAAGCATGAAGCTTACGATCAAGTGCTTGAAAAAGCCCAAGATTGGCTAAATACCATCAAATCTGAAGCCTTTGATATAATAAATGAAACCACTTTTGAAAAAGAAGGCGCTGAAGAGAAACTTATTATTGTTGAAAATTTATTGCAACATAAACCCGAGGGTGACTCAATATTCAATGCATGCCATAAACTGCTGCAAACTGTTTTGTATCAAACTCATCCATCTGGGCATCCGGCGTTGTTAAAGAGTTTCCAAGAACCTAAGAACGCTTGGGATGAATTCGTTATATTGTGTCAAGACTCTTTAGTTAAGTTAAAACAATTATGCTCACGATGGGACGAATTCGAAGCTGTGATCGGTGAAATTGACAGTTGGATGAAAAACGTGGAGAGCAACGTTAAAAATCAAAGTCTTAAAAACACCGCTTCCTCGAAAAGACTTCACTTACAACAATTGCAGTCCATTGCTGGTGATATTGAAAAGCATGCAAAATCTATTAATGATTTAATGGACCGGTGCCGAGAAATTGAAGGCGAAACTGATTTAAATTTAAAGTTGTCCCGTTTAAATACACGCTATCAAACTTTAAAAAATCTTTGTAAAGAATCGATAGCCAAATATCAGATATATGCAAAAGATCACGAATCATTCGACCAGGACTATGAAGCATTCAAAAAAGACTTGGAATTGTCCGTAGAAGAGTTGGCACAATGTAAGGAAGTAGTAGGCGATCAAAATATTTTACAAGAAAGACAGAATAAATTACGGGATTTATTGGATAAGCGAATTAACGATGGTACCGTTTTCGAGAATCTTATTGACCGGGGTGAAAAACTGTATGGTCACACGAGTCCCGAAGGTCGAGAAATTATACGCCAGCAACTACGAAGTTTACGTAGCATCTGGGACGGTTATACTGAAGATTTAAACGCAGCCGCTCAGACAATCGATCAATGCCTACAATACTTCAACGAATTTGCTATTGCCCAAGACCAGCTTACAAAGTGGCTCAAAGACGTTGATAAAGCTATGCAAAGCCACACCGAACCGAAGACCACGTTGCAGGAAAAACGAGCCCAATTGCAAAATCATAAAATGTTACATCAAGAAATTACCACTCATAATGTTTTGGTGGATAATGTATGTGAAAAGGCTCAAATTTTAATAGACAAACTTAACGATAACTCTTTGAATATATATCTGCAATCCATTAAACAATTGTATAACGGGATTGTACAAAAATCGGCTCAGATACTCGAAAACTTGCAAGATTGTGTCGACCAACATGCTGAGCTTAATAATAAAATCATTTCAGCCAAATCATGGATGTCGGGCGAAAAAGAAAAGCTGTTAGAATGCGATGACGCTTATGGCGAAAAAACTGATATTAAACGCAAAATTGAAACATTAAATAATTTAGCTCAGAATAAACCGCAAGCTTTGACATTGATCTCCAGCATACGGAATCAATACGATAAGATCGAGCCAGCTACTTCTCAGAAAGGCAATGATGTCCTCAAGAAGGAAATATCTGAGCTAGAAATCACAATGAAAAGTCATTTCGATGATATTGAAGGCATAGAGAGCAAACAGAAAGAAGTTCTTCAACAATGGAATAATTTCGAAAATAAGTTGGAAGATCTAACCAAATGGTGTCGAACGGCTGAGGCAATTTTTCGTGAACAGCAATTACAATCTACATTACATGAGAAAGTTGAAGAGCTGGAAAAGTATAAGATACAACGCGATCTTATACTGCAGAAGGAGAAAGAAGTTGATGCCTTCGCAGATGCCGCTCACATTTTGCTAAACAATTGTGGGGCTGATCGCTTAAAGAATTTAACTGCTCAGTTTACGAATCGTTATCAGCTGCTGCAAGTCCTTAGTAAAGAGGTTGTTAATCGCTGGACAAATTTGGTTGACGACCACCAAATGTACCAGGATAAATACAATGAAGTCGACTTGTGGTTGCAGCCGATTGAGAAGCAACTGCAGCAAACTACGCAAGAAGATACGACGCAAATTTCAAATATTTTGCAAGTGCTACTCGCTGAGAGAGAACACGCTGACAGCATGTTTGCCGCTCTTAATGCGGCAGGTGAAAAAGCTTTGCCTGAAACTTCAACACAGGGCCGTGAAAAGTTGCGTAAGGAAATGCGTGATATACGCGACCGTTGGGATAAATTAGATGAAGGCATACGGAATTTGCAAAAGCGACAAGAGGCACAAAGTCTTCAACTCACTAACTATCATGAAATTCTTGGTCAAGTTCTGAATTGGTTAGATCAGGCAGAAAAGGGAGTGGAAAATGAAAATCCTGCCAGTTGGACAAATGCTCAAGATACACGTTCAAAGATGTACAAATTCAAAGCAATTTCTCAGGACATCAATTCTCATAAGCGTATTGTCGAAGCAGTAAACGAGAAGGCTTCTATTTTATGCGGCAGTGCTTCGCCAGCTAATGCCACTGAAATCCAAAAGTCTGTGGATGACATCAACAAACGCTATAACCAAGTTGCCACGGCTTGCAATAATTTACTGCGTCAATTGGAAGAGGCTTTTGAAGTCTATCAACAGTTTAGTGAATTACAAAAGTCTCAACAGGATTATCAAAAGAATCTATGGGATCGTCTCACTGGATATTCTGATTATTCCGGTAATAAACCTGCATTACAAGCTCGCCTTAATAAGGTCATCGAAATTCAAAATTCAATGCCTGAAAGCATGCATAAACTTCAAGCTTTATCCGATCATATTGATCAGAATGCGAAACTATTACCGGCACGTTCAAAAGAGACCATGGCACGAGATTTGAGTAATTTGTATGCCGACTATGAAAAGTTCTCGGCTGCTCTCAGTGATGTTAAAAGTGGTTTAGAGAATCGTTTGCAGCAGTGGAGTGACTATGAAGTTAATCTGGATCAATTGATTGCTTGGCTGGGTGAAACTGAAAACGCTTTGAAAAACTATAATCTTAAAGGTACTTTAGAGGAAAAGGAAGACCAGTTAAATCGTTTCCAAACTTTAGTTCACAATTTGCGTCAGAGAGAAATGGAATTTGAAAAATTGAAAGATGAATCGTCGGAACTCATACAGAGTTCGGGTGAGACTCGCATATCCGTTAATGTGCAACAGGTTACGTCACGCTTTCAATCTATACAAGCTACCATCAAAGAAATTATGAAGAAATGTGAACAATCTGTACACGACCATGTCCAATTTAATGAGAAATACAAACAATGTTCAGATTGGTTTGCAAACGCTCAAGCAAAATACGATAACACGTTAGATCTTTCCACAGTCGCCACTCGTGAAGATCTCTTAAAAAAACAACTAGCTGTACAAGAATTGTTAGCGCAACAAAGCAATGCAGCTTTATTGTTAAACAACACAATTGAACTCGGTGAGAAATGTTATGCCTCCTCTGCGTCTGAAGGACGGGAGGCTATACGCTTGCAATTGGAAGAATTGCAGAAAGCCTTCGATCAACTCTTCGATAATCTTAACAGCCATGCCCGGAAAATTCAGGACAAAATGTCAAAGTGGTCAGGTTTTGACGAAATTGCTGAAAAGTTAAAAAGTTGGTTAATTGAACTGGAAAGAGCTCTCCCCGCCGAAATCGAATTGAAAACAACTCTGGATGAGAAACGTGGTAAATTGTTGACCTACCGTGACGCTCTTAATGATATAAATAATCATAAAGCTGAAATTGGAAATTTGCAAGAAATTGCCGGAAATTTGCCAGAAAAGACAGAGCATGTCGATGAAGCAACAAAACAGATCGTTGAGAAATATGAGAAATTAAAAAAGAGAGCAGAGAACTATGTGCGTAGCTATGAGGAATTTGTCAGCGCTCATCAGCAGTATTGCAAGGCAGTTATGGATACCCAAGAGTTTATTGAGTCGACCCACGACACAATTGACTACTGGGGCAATTTGGATTTGGAACAAGTCTCTTTGCACACAAATTTAGATCGTTTAAGAAATCTTAAATCTACCCTCGCCGATGAATTTCCGCGTGTTGATCAAGTACGTGTCTTGGGCGAAAAAGTAATCCCAGGTACAGTAGCTTCTGGCCAAATCAATATCAAGACTCAAATTGGTAATACGCAGCAAGAATGGGAAGGCTTAATTACTGCCCTTAATTCAGCAGTTGAAGGAATTGAAACCCGTTTACAAAATTGGGCAGACTATGAACAACTGCGCGATAACTGTTTGGATTGGATACGCGAAGCCGACAATAAATTACATTCCATTGATTTGAAACCAAATTTGGCCGAAAAAAAGATTCAATTAGAAGAACTGAAAACTTTACAAGGCGAAGTAAGAGCTAAAGAGCTAGAAGTTGACAATGTTTCGGAGAAGGCACAACTTTTAATGAAAGGTCCGTCTGGCTTACGCACTTCTGGCCCCGAACTGATAACTAAATACCAGCAGCTATTCCATAAAGTTAAAGAGCTTAATAGCCGCTGGCAACAGTATGTTGCTACCCATCAAGAATTTGAAAATTCTATCTCGGAATGCACTGCTTGGATAAGTAGCATTAAAGAGAAGTTAGAATATTGTGCAGATACAAGTTCAATGGGTCAAAAAGAGCTGGACAAGAAGATGAACATTATTCACGATGTAATCTTACTTAAAGATGAAGGTTCCGCAAAAGTTCAAGGAGTTGTAGAATTGGCTCAAAACGTCTTAGCTAATACTGCTCCTATTGGCCACGATGCTGTTAATAAACAATTGACTAATTTGCAAGACTTATGGTCGTCCATTGCTCTGCGTATAGTAGATGTCAAGTCTCTATTGGATGACTCTATAACTCAGTGGTCAGGCTTCCTGGAACAAGTACAAAACGTCAGTAAATTTAATGATTGGTTGGAGTCGACATTAAAGGAATTGTCTGAACATCAAACCTCGATGACAGAAAAACGAGCACAATTGGATCGCGTTAGAACGACTGAAGAAAAAGTACGTATGGAGAAAATCGATGTAGATGCTCTCAAATCACAGGCCAAGGAAATTGTAGTAACCGGTCAACAAAGTCAAACGGCATTTCAAGCTCAAAAGGTGTTCGAAAGATTCGACGAATTGGCGACCAGATCTCAAAAATTGTTATCACAAAGGCAAGATCAGTACCGCGATCATCGTTTATACAAAGAAGCATATGATGACCTACTCAGTTGGATAAGCCGGGCCCGAGAGAAATTCCCTTCACTCAAGCAAGGCAGTCTTAGTGACAAGTTAGCCATTGAAAGTGCAGTTCAAGCCACGGAAAACATGCTTAATAAGCAGGCCCAAGGCGAATTGTTAGTTGAACATTTAGTTCATACAGGGGAAGTGGTTTTGGCTAGCACATCTCCTCAAGGTCAGGAGATTATTCGGAACGACATACGTTCTTTGCGTGACAGTTTCGAAGGATTATTCCGAGATATCAATCAGCAAAAGGAAAATTTGGAAGCTACTATGCAACAATGGCGAGCTTATAAAGAGGAGTACGAACGCTTGATAGAATGGTTACAACAAATCGATATTTTAGTCAAGAATCACAAGCTGAACTTACAACCAAATTTAGCAGAAAAGGAAAAACAAGTCACAGATATGCGGGATATAATGTCGCGTTTGGAAAAAGGAAAAGACGATATCGATAGATTTAATAATTCTGCAGCTGGCCTCTTAAAATCACATCTGGACACCTATGTTAGCAATCAACTGCGCCATTTGAATTCTATGTACCAAGTTCAAGTAAATTTAGCGAAAGATGTTTTGAAGAAAGTTGAAACTAACCGCGATCAACATCGGGAATACAAAAGTAACATGGAAGCAGCAAAAAGTTGGATTAACCACGCCAAAGATGTTATCCGGGAATGCAGTGAAGCGTCGAGCGCTAGATCGAAAGATGTTTTGGAAGAACGTTTAGAGAAAGTGCAAGAACTTCTACGTAATCGGGAATTTGGTCAAAACCTCGTGCACACCGCTATCAACAATGGCGAAAAGGTCGTCCGTAATACTCGCTCAGATGGTCGTGAACCTATAAATAATGAAATGAAAGAGCTTCAAAACGATTGGGAACGCTTGGTTAAAAAATTGTCTACAGCTAAGGTGCAATTGGAAACCAATCTATTGCAATGGGCCGACTACAGTTCGAGTTATTCTCAATTGCAACAATGGATATTAGATAAAGAAGCCAAATTGCAACAAGTAAGTGAACCAAAGGTTGTCAAGTCTAAAAGAAATCAACAAGGACTCAGCAGTGGTTTAAGTGAACGCAAGGCTAATTTACGCCAAACCAATAATATAGTTCAAGATATTGTATCATTTGAACCTATGATCCAATCGGTTACATCCAAAGCTTCCGATTTGCAACAGGGAGCCCCCGCTTCGGAGATTTCCAGTAAATACCAGACTTTAACTAAACAAGCCCAGGATATATATGAAAAGCAAAAGAACACGATCGATCAATATCAAGCTTTCATTGATTCCGGCAATGATTTTGCAACTTGGTTACGCAATGCCAAGGAACGTTTAAGCAAATGTTCAGAACCTACTGGTGACAAACAAGCCTTAGCTGAGAAAACTCACCAACTGAAAATCTTACAAGGTGAGGTACCTCAAGGGCAAAAGAAATTAGAAGCAGCCTTAACCCAAGCTGAAATAGCTTGTCGTAATGCTGAACCTGAAGATTGCGAAATCATTGAGCAAGAGGTAGCATTATTGCAAGAAGAATTCGATACTTATGTGGAAAATTTGCAAAAAACTAAAGTCTATCTTGAAGTAGGTATAGTTAAATGGTCCGATTATCAAGATCAGTATTCGGAAGCTTTAGATTGGCTTACTAAGACTGAAACTTTGGTGCAATCTTACAATAAATTGCAAGAGAGCTTAGCTCAAAAGAAAATAGTTTTAGAAGAATTCCAAGGCCATTTGCAAACTCTATTCGATTGGCAAAAAACATTGGATCATTTGAATATGAAAGCGCAAATGTTGTTGGAAACGTGCTCGGATACACGGATCAGTAATGCTGTCATGCAGCTTACTACTAAGTACAACGCTTTATTAACTCTCGCTAAGGAAGTAATGCGTCGCCTGGAAATGCATTATCAGGAACACCAACAACATAACACTCTTTACCAAGAATGTCAATCGTGGATTGAACAGACTCGCGAGAAATTAACGCAATGCGAAATCATACCCGGAACTTTAAATGAGGTCCAGATAAAGTTAAATACTGTTAAGAATTTGCGTCAAGGTTTTGAGTCCGGACAAAATAAATTACGGTATTTACTTGAGCTGAAGGAAAAAGTTATTATTAACACTGAGCAAACGGGGGCTGCAAAAATTCAGGAAGACACAGAAAGTTTAAAACAAGATTATGATAATTTACTGATACGAATCAACGATGTACGACAAAAATTAATGAATCGTCTGTCTCATCTCGAGGAAATTTATAAATTATATAAAGGTTTAGAAGAATGGTTGGAAGAGATTAGACCAAGCTTGAAAACATCGGGAGAATTTTTGAATGATTTAAGCGAAAAGCGAGCTGCGTTAGAGAAGTTTAGATCCATACAGCGAGATTTTAACAGCCATAATGACATTGTAGAGAAAATTAGCAAAAGTCTGAAAAACGACGATGGTTTGGATAACAAAGATTTCCAGAAAGGCTTAAACGAATTCGAAGAACTGCAGATGAGAACGAATGAAATTATTGAATCCCTCGAAAATCATGTTAATAATCATGATAAATACAAGCAAGCTCTACTAGAAATTCAAGATTGGCTTCGTAAAGCAAGAAATGAAATTGAATTGTGTTCCGATTGTCATGGCGAGCAGCAGCATGTTGAGGATCGCCTTAACAAATTGGGAGAAATTGATGAATCCATGGTAGAGGGTAAATCTTTCTTGGATGCCTGTAAAGAACTAGGACAAGCTGTAATAGCTACAAGCGGCAATGAGGGCCAAGACGCGGTAACGCAAGAAATTAAACATTTAATCACCGAATGGGAAGCTATACAAGCTATGTCACGCGATGCCCGTTATAATTTGGAATTATGCCTAACTTCGTGGAATACTTTCCAGGAAAAAATCAACAAAATTAACGTTTTAATTGAAGAGTTCAACAAGCGCCTCGCACGAGCCAATGAAACCGAAAATAAGACACCTGAGGATTTGATAAATGCTACGGTAAGTTCTTTTGTACAGTGTCTTCTCTTCTCTTCGTCTTACTAGGTTCAATCGTTACTAAATCAATTCGTTGTACATGCTTCATTTGCACTTCCAAATAGTAAAACCGCTCCAAATCTAACTGTTAGCTTTAAAATAAAACCAAACTAACTGCTTTAAATCTGTTATATCTTAACTAAAATTTAGAGGAAAGTTTGTAGTAATTTAATTATTTCGGCAAATTCTTTGAATTTTTTTACTGTGTTTTTGTTTCCTTAGAAACTACTACAGGAAGTCGTTGCGGAAAAAGAGAACGTTGAAGAACTTAATGACACTTGCGAATTGTTGATGGAGCGCAGCGCTTGTTCGCGAGTACGCGATCAAACTGTAGACACACAAGCAAAATACACCAAGTTATTGACTAACACTCAGGGTAAGTAAAGATGGTGGATTAAAAGATGGACCAACATGTTCAAATAAATTTCTTTAGGTCTTGTTGCCAGAATCGAGAAGAATTTATCGGATCACACCGAGTTCTTAAATTATAAGAACGAGATGGACGCTTGGATACTGAAAGCTCAGGAAATTTTGGATGGCTGCAACGGTAAAGGTGACATGCAAAGCATTACCCAGCAAATTGAAACAATTAATGTGAGTTTGTTTCAATATTAATATACAGATTTGATGAGATGAAATTTGAATTTTTCCAGGCATTGTCATCTCGTTTGCCGGAAGGTCAGCATCTTTTAGGCATAGTACAAGATACTTATAATAGGGCGTCCAATGTATTGCCGGAAGATAAGCAAGAAAAATTACGTGAGATGATGACCAAAGTACGCGAAAGTTGGGATGCTTTAGGTTTAGCGGTTAAGCAGAAATTAAACGATTTAAAGCAAAATCAAAACCGTTGGGCAGAGTATTTACACAATAAGGACAAATTAGAAAATTGGCTGACTGAAATGGAAGAGACTTTGAAATTTAAACCAAATACCAAAGGCGAGCTAAGCGAAATGAAAACGCAATTAGAGCGCTACAAAGTCCATCAAAATGATATAAAGCTTAAAGGATCTGATATGGAGCATCTTTGCAGTGAGGCCAAGAATTTAAACGCTGACATGGATGAAGTTCAAAACTTGCAGGAACTTTGGGGTAAAGTCAAGAACGATTGCAATGCTTTAGTCAATCGATTCGAAGATGAAGTAAATGAGTACAATGCATACCACCAAACTCTGCAGGATGTGGAAAAATGGTTGCTGCAAATTTCCTTTCAACTGATGGCTCACAATTCCTTATTAATAGCGAATCGTCAGCAAACTCAAGAACAAATTAAACAGCACGAAGCATTACTTGATGAGATACAGAAATATCAGACTAATATTGATGATCTTAACGCTAAGGGTCAATGTCGGATCAAACGTTATGAGACCAGTGCTCCTGCCGTGCGCTTAACTGTTGAGACTCAATTGAAAAACATACAGGATAGTTACAGTTCTCTGCTGCAGACTTCAGTACAAATACGTAATCGTTTGCAAGAATCTTTGGCTAAATTCCAAGAGTATGAAGATACTTTGGAAAGTATAATGCGCAATTTGCAAGAATATGAGCCCATAATAAAAACCGAATTAGACACTCAACCTAATAACTTGGAAATGGCGCAAAAACAATTAAAGTGCGCGCAAAACATGCAAAACAAACTGAATTTTGAAAAATCTCGTTTAGCTATTGCCGTTCAAGCTTGCGAGGCGGCCACTGCTTCGATTAGCAGACCTAGTTCCCCTTTGGAAACGGCCATGCAAGTTATTCCAGAACGTGAATTGATGGTGCGTTCGGAGCTGGAAGATCTTTTAGATCAGGTAAAGTAACGATACTTTTCATTTTTTACCTTGCCTTTCCCGATTTTCCCTAAGAACTTAAAAATTATATTTGAATATATACATATATATGATTTTCTACTAAAATTTTTTATTGTTTGGTTTATAAAATTTAACTTAATTATTATTTATTTCGTTTTTGGTTTTTTTTTTTTTTTGTTTGTTATAATTGCCGCACTTTAAATGCACTTTTTGTTAAACAACCAAATTTCTGTGTTGAACATCTAACCTTAAAAAAATACCTTGCTCTAACCTCAACTGCCAATAACCAACAACAAAAATAATGATTACACAACGACAATTCCAAACAACCAAAGAAACCCAATAAAAGAACTCAAAACTCAACCACTGACGCTAATTTTGACGATGATGTTGAGCTTAATGCAGTTACTGATTATTTATTGGATGCTGTAGCTAATGAACGTTTAAAAAAACTAAAAAATGTTTACTCAAACCGTGAACTTGTGCAAAAGCTATGTACTCTTAAAACCAAGGTAAGATTTCTTACGATGCCAGTCCATATAAAAGGCCTGTGGTGTTTGTTGCTTTTGCTGTGTAAAATATAATGTCTGCAAAACGTAAAAAAAAAAAAAAAAATTTACTCTTCGACGAAAATCATTTCTTTTTTCTGTACCGATCCACTTCATCCAACACATTGCTAAAGCAGTTCAATTTATTTCTAGAAAAAATTTTAAATATTTGTATCACTTTTAATTCATATGCAGGTTCAATCCCACTTGAGTGGATTGATTGCTTCGGTTGGAGAATTAGAGCAACAGCAAAAACAACGCGCCGAATTAGCTGATTGGATTTCGAAACAGCAAGTAATCGTTTCCGACTGGATGATGCGACCATGCAAGTTACGCCCGGAAGCGGCAAAACAAGAGTTAATGGCTATGGACGATCTATTAAATGCCGTCGGAGATAAGCGTTCTCATTTAATGCTTGATTTGACGGGTTCACGTATGTGTTTAGATGCGTTTAAGCTAATTTATATTTGAATCTATCTCGAGTCTATTTTTATTTTTAGTGGCGGATGACGAAAACGACCTGATTGGCAAGATTGATAAACTTGAAACTCAATTGATGGACGCCATAGCCAAAAAGAAGGCTGGTCAAAACATTATTGATAGCTACCGTCAGAGTGCTCAAGATATGAACAATTGGTTTGATTCTCTAATCAAGCGCATGGATGTTTTAGATAAGGGCTCCGGCTTAAATTGCGCTCAAAAAATGACGGCTATTACCGAAGTTAAGAAAGAATACGAAGAGCAAGGTCCTCAAAAACTGCAAGATTTAAAAAGTAAAGCCGCTCAAGTAGCCGAGATTATTAGCAATTTAGATGGTCAACAAGTAAAAGAACAGATGAAGTCCTACGATCGCCGGTATTTGGATTTGGGCAAAAGACTCGATCGCAAAGCTCAACTCCTGGATGTTACTAACAAATGCGTGGAGGCGATAAAAGCTGAGACTGATCAACTTCAGAATTGGGTGAAAGAGACTCTAAAAAGTCTTCAAACACCAGCTCTATTGGGTTATGAACCAAAATCCGGCGAGGCAAGGCAACACACAATTAAGAGTATAATGAAAGAGGCCGAAAGTAAACAATCTCTAACTGATGCTTTAGAAAAACGGATTGCAAATATGCAATCGGAATTGGAGCCAGCAGAATATGCTCAATTAGGATCTGCGTTACGCAATCTGAATACAGAACAGAAGAATCTTTCTGCCGCTCTTAAATTAGAAATGGAAAAAGCATTAGAAGCTACCAGATTACGTAAGATTTTCGAAAATGATTTAGAGAAAGCTCGTAATTGGTTAAAAGCTAAAATATCAAAAGTTAGACAATTGCCCGGTTATCATCCTTTGACTGCTTTGGAAGTGGAAAACAAGCTACAAGAGAATAAACGTTTCGATGACGAGGCTAAACAATTTAATGATACCGTTTTAAGCGACTTGCAACGTCAGGCGGTTAACATAATGAAAGATTGCCCTGAAACTGAGAAAGCATCATTACAGAAGATTCTCGACGAAATTGAAGCTGACTATAAAATTCTCAAAGATGAATGCGGCAATAGAGCTAAAACTCTGGGAGATCTATTGCAGGGACGAAAGGCTTTTGAAAAGTCAATGAAACAAATGACTGATTGGTTAAATGAAATGGAGACAGCCACCGAAGGAGATTTGCGTACATCGAATTTGCCAGTTTTGGAAGAACAGCTTGCGCACTATCACAAGCTATTAAAGAAGGCAGAAAATATGGACGACCTTTTAAATGATATCAACGAACAAGGCAAAGGCGTGTCGCCTTCATTAAGCAATCCCGACAAACTTAAACTAAATGATGACATCAAGAGCATGAAAGATCGCTTTGGCAAAGTTAAGCAAACTTTGAATAACCGCGTCAATACTTTGGGAGACCATATTAAAAAATACAAAGATGCAAAGTCGAAATTGGCCGAATTTATGGAATTTTTAAATCGTATACAACAACGCCTAAGAGAATTGAATAAGCCCATTGGAGCCAAGATTGAAGATGTCCAAGAACTCCTAAGAGCCTACGAAGGCATTTTAAAGGAACTGAAAGATAGTAAACACAGCATGGGTGATATGGAAGTAGATGATTTACCTGAATTGCAAAGTATTCTGTCGCAACAAGACGACATGATCAAACTAATCGAAGATCAATTGGCTCATTTGAGACAATTATTGTTGTTGCGCGAACAATTCATTGCATTGATTAATGAAATCATAGCATTTATTATGAAATATACTGACGTACTAGTAGACATCGAAAATGCTCCCGATAGTTTGGAGGAGAAAATTAATAAATACGATGATGTCATAGTAAAAATACAAGAATGTGAAGGACTTTTAGCTTCGGCTAACGATAAAGGACAAAAAATTGCATCTGAAGGTACAGCAGCAGATAAGAATAGCATAACCGAACAATTGCAATCGCTTAAAAATCAATTGGGTAACTTGAGAAAGGCGGTTGAACAGCAAAGACAAAGGCATCAAATACAACTTGAACATCACAAAAAAATGGCAACTGACCTAATGGAAATACTAGATTGGTTGCATAACACTGAAGGAGTGATCAAATCACGGCCTTTGCTGGATCGCGATCCCGATTCAGTAGAGCACGAATTGCAAAAGCATCACAAACTTTGCGGCGAAACTCAAGAATACTTAGATAAATTCAATAAAATCAATGGAAGCGTTAAATCAGAGATGGGTATGCCAGGTGCTTTACTGGAAATGCTTTCCGAAGGACGTTCTTTGGTGTCATCCTTGCCGCCTGAAATGACTGAGCGTGAAAAGTATATGATCAACAATCGTGATTCCCGTTTGGCTTATATGAAACTAGTAGCGGAGTTCAATGCTTGGTTACACGAAGCCGAAGATCGTTTGCAATGCGGTCAGCATGGTATAGATTACGAACATTTAATGCGTGATTTAGAAGAACACAAACTTTTCTTTGGCAATGAAGCACTAATGCGAAGTCTAGTTCATAAACAAATACAAGAGGCAGCCGATAAAATTTGGCCATCTCTTAACAATTATGAACAGACCGAATTATCTGGAGAATTAGCACAATTTCAGACGAAACTTACTAATGTCTTGGCGCGAGCTAAAACTCAACAAGCCGACCTGGAACGAGAGCACGAACGTTTTCGTGAATATCAACAGTCAATGGAACGTGTTAAGACGACAATTGAATTAACTAAATTCCCTGATGAATCGGTAAATAACTTGGCTGGTCTACATTTCAATATACAAAAGCTGACACATGCCATGGGAAATGTTATGGTAAGTAAATGACTTTCTAAAGAGAAAATTTCAGGCGAAAATTGCAAACGGTAAATACGTTAAATGAATGGATGTCTTGTGATATAGATGAATGATTGTTAGGACCACCACCTACACTGGATTAAACTACTTTCATAAAATTCCTTAACTGCTTTCAATAGGTTATAATAACCGGTAAATATGTCTATGCTTTTGGTTTTTTTTTCTTTTATTTACCGGCCGGTAAAAGTTGTCCAGAAAGTAGTTTTTTGTCTCTACGATAACTGCAGTTTAATGGACTCTTAAATATCGTATGGCTTTTGCTCTTTAATTTACAGTATTTTGCATATAAATACTTTGTAGGAATATTTGCAATTGCAAAACGCCATTAGCCATATCTTTCTCTTTCCTTCCATCATGTAAAACAGTTCTCTCTTATTTAAAAATACAATTTCACTCTTAAGTATTTATAAGCAGTATTTACTATAATTGGAATGAGAAGTGGTATATGTGGTGAGTGTCGCATATGTCACGTTTTGCTTAATTGAGAGTTCGCTCTCTGTTTTGGATTACTGCTACTGTGCAAAGAGACAAAGCAAATTAACCAAACTTATTCCAACTTATTCCAAACATACCGGCTTTTCGACGCTCGCTCTTTCAATTCAATAGAATTGCCACCAAATCAGACTCGTTCGACGATTTACGTGTGTCCGTCCCGGTTTATTTTTGAATAAATGTCTGCAAATTTATGCACATCTAAGCATTTTCGCCTTAAACGCTGAAAAGTTACGCAAATGTTTTTTGTTGGTATTTAAATATTTATGACGTACAGTCACGCCTTCATTTACACGGTAGATATGAGCCAATTTTATATCGTATAGAAATAGATATAGTGCGTTCAGTATATTCATAGTTTTGTTAGCAAATGTTAAAATTACTGAATTGAAGATCACAATTCGATCAGAAGAATATGTAACTAGAGATATGCGCATTACAACAATAAAGGGGGGGGATTCGAAAGTGTATCAGGAAAAATGAATTTTTTTATATTAGAAATACTATCGAAGATATGTACAATTTCTAGCAATGATTGCTGGTGTATAAATAGAATTTTAATAGATATTCTTTCATATCTCGAAAAGTCTAAAGTAGCTAATGTAGATTTGATGATTCCGTAAAAGTTATAAAGCGAATCTTAAGACAGGCTCAAAAGGGTGATATTCTGAATTCTGTTTAAACATTGACGCCCTCTCAATATTAGAACATTCTTCCAAGACGTTATTTCGAGTCTTTTAACTATTGAAAGCATTAGAATAATTAATTAGATCAAGTCATTCTTCCAGCCTCTTCAAGCATTTTCTGATCAATTATTTCCATTGTATAACAATAGGTTACCTTACATTTTAATTAAAAATATAATAAAATCTCTTCTACACGCAAAATGTTTCCTTCAGTTTCGTTTAGGAATTATTTAAAATTGAACCGACTATGCTTTAAAAAGAAAATATTATTTCTATTGCCTCTCATAAATATATTCGTCATATACTTCTTTTTAAAATATTTCAATATGTTAAGGGAGTTTTAAAATCTCTATTGGTTCTTTAAATTAGAATAAATCTTCCAATGTTCAAAATTAAAATAACGTGTAAATAAATAACAATAGTAGATTTTTCACCCGCCTTAAGAGGAATCCCTGATATTCGCTCTCAAAACAGGAGTAGCTGTAATTGATATTTGCCGTTTGGACATATGCTTCGTAAGTATTTGAGTTAGATGGTAGAGCAGTGTTTGCTTCCTAAGTTTTAAATGAAGTAAAGGCATTTTATTTATTTCTTTATTTATTTATTCAATGCTGCTGTGTAAACCATTCATAAATTCGTTTTCACAATAAAAACATGTTCAATGAATTTACAATAATATCATTTTTTGTAATTATTAATGAAATGTTCGTAGGGTTCATTTTAAATAAAACGAACTGTAAATAAATAAACATATATGCATGCATATGTACTGAAGATACAAACAAAGTATATACAAAAATTGATATTTACCAAGTGTCGAATGCCGCCATCAATAGGATTGCAAGTATGCGAAATTTATGCTGACGCTTGCGATACCGACAAATGCCTAAAGTCCATTTTATACAAATATTATATTATTTTTCCTTCATTTCTTCTCACAACATCTTAGTAAAGTAAAATAAAGTAAAGTAATGGTTTAATGCACAAATTTTGTGCTTCGGTTTTTTGCCGGCATATTTATAAAATGCTCTCTCAACTCTTATAAGAATTCTTTTTTGAAATTCTCTTTCTTTTTTCCTCTTTTAATCACATACTTCTAAGGGATTTTTTATTTTTTTGATTTTACGTCCATTTCGTCCAAAACATAATAGAGAGAGTAATTTTTCGTTTAGAGATGAGAGAAGAAGAAATTTGGAGAGCAAAATAAAAATTAATAATGAGCTCATTGAATTCTCCAATTCGAGCTTTCATTTTGTTATGTTACTAAATGTACTTTAATCTGAATTCATTTTAATGGTGAGTTTCAGACAGTGTTGTAAGTGAATTTTTTGTGCTCCTTGTGCAGTTTCTTAATAGTGTTTTTACATATCTATATATATATGAAATTTATATTTTAATCAGGCAAATCTGCATCAGCAAATATAAAGAATAAAATCTAAAAAGACATATACATATATATGTTTGTGTAACATTCAATAACAATAATAATCGATAAAAAAAATAGAAACTTAAAAATGATTTTTACGGTGAATTGAGAAAAAAATTTCTAGTATTCAAGAAAAATTCTCTTTATTTTACAAGAAAAGCGTCGACATCATTTTTTACGTTTTATATGCAAATTAGAAGAACGAATAAAGAAAAAGTAAGAAAACAATTGATTAAAACAACACTACGGCATAAAACATAAAACAGAAGTTTTAATAAAAAAGAAAAAAAGCAAAGAAAACCAAATATATTGTGTATTTCAAGTGTATTTTAGGTGAGTGTGAATATTTTAAAATTTGTAAGTATATGCGCGTGCAGAAAAGTAAAAAAGTAAGGAAAAATCGACTTTTTCTTTTCGTTTAAAAACCAGAAGTGAATGGTGAAATTTCCTTTAGAAAATAAAATATATATATATATATATATATATGTATATATGCGGATATTTGCATCAACGTATCTGTGTACCTATAATAATATATATATATATATATATATATATGTAAGCAAACAGGGATAACGTTTCTATTATGTGTTATGTGACATTTTGGCTTGCTTCCCATTGACTTCTCTCACCCTTGAATTTAATGAAAATTTCTTAAATTTTTTCTTAGTAATGTCGAAGAACTTTGCAGAAAATGTGCAGTCAGTTTTATTTTCCTTTTCAACGAAAATTTTTACATAAATTTATGCCAATGCTATTGCTTAAATACGAGTCTGTAATTTTGACTTTTGCAGAGCCAAACCAGTGACATTAGTCTGGTTAATCAACAGGCTCAGGCTTTGATACGAGAAGCTGATGCTCGCAATCGTCAGCTAATCGAACAGGATAACGCACAATTGAATCGTTTATGGCAAGATCTTATTAAGAATTTGGAACAGCGCCTTGACAAATTACAAACGATCGCTGATAAGTGGGATAGTTTCGAAAATCGTCTACTCGCTTGGGAGAAGGCTCTGTCACGTTTATCGGATAAATTCCGAAATGTTGATCCGGTGGTAAGATCACGACGTCATTTGGAAGAGACAAAGCATGTTATTCAGGTGAGTACAAGCACCTGATAGAATGTATAAAGTGCAAAAAGGTAGCGATAAAATTCTAAAGAAATTTTTTAAAAATTTTTATTTATTATTAATACCGTTAATATTTTATGTAACTATACCGTTAATACTTTATGTAACATATGAAGATTTTTACAGTTATTATTATTATTATTATTATTATTATAAATTTAGCCAGAGAATATATTCTAAGACTACAGTCTTAAAGCACTAGCTTCGAAGGCTTTCGGCTTTATTACAAACTCTACCGTATTTGAGATTTGTACCCACGACCTCTGAGTTGCTAGTCGAGACTTGCCTACTCGGCCACTCGGGCAGATTTTTTACAGTTAAACTGTTGCAGTAGAGGAGTAGCAAAGTGGATGTGTAAGAATGCAGGATAAAATTTAAGCAAATAATGTATAAGAAACTAGCGAAAATCTGTATTAAAACCGTTGCTAAAAAAAGGAGTAATTACGAAAAATTTTTGATTATTCTTAATCTCTCTACTTTCGGTAGAGAAGAAGTAACCATAGAAAAGTACTAGATTCAAGGACCTGTTGTATGTTACACTATCAGGCGAAAACAACATATTTTCTTTTCATGTTATATTAACTTTGCATCAATTTTGGTATTCAAAAGGAACAATTGCAATATTATTTATTAAGTCAGGCAAATCACAGACAAAAAACTGCTTTTTGACTACTAGCGGCGTCTCTACGATGTAAACGTTTAGAAAATGGCTCTTTTATAACTTATTTATGTGTTAGCATTGGTTCGGTTTAATCAGCTTCGTCTGTACCTTTGGTTTTGAAATGGTCAAAGTAGCAAGAGTAAATGTGTTTGCTGACATATAAATGACAGTTCAATAATTTCATTACGGGAAGTGGCTAGTAAATTAGTATGGTATGTTAACTTACTTTTAATGCAACTTAGAATAATCATATAAAGCGAATATTTATTAAACATTTTAAAAAAATTTTTATAATGCTTCAAGGAAAGTATATGAAATTGGACGTTTGACTTGTGGTATAAAGAAAAGTTTACTAGCAAGCCAACTGTTCGTTTGCCTTGTTCACCACCTAATACTTTTTCGAATTTTCATTCCCAGAAAAGCCACAGTTGAAACTCGTATGTCAAGTTTGAAATAGAAATTATAGTTTTACACATACCAGAGGGACGAAAAATATGTGCTAGCTGTTAAAAGCTATCACTCTCTGCTCATATACACTGACGTTAGAGTCTGCTAACTAACGTTTATTCTACTACACGATGCAATGCTCCAATGCAGCCGTGCCCCATAACTTGTGAAACAGGGTATATTAAATTTCAGTGCATGTATGTAACTGCTAGGAAGATTGTGTATGGTTTCATCTTTTACTACACAAGTCGATTTCGAATTATTTTCTGAATAAATTTAAACTTGTCTGTCTGCCTAATATCTTTCCGTTTATTTTTGTTTTCAACCAACAGGTTTAATTAAAAAGACAAACCTTTCTGTAAAAGGGGATTGGATCGAACTAACTGTATGACCATTCCCCATATAATGGCTTAATTTGAAAAATTCTTTAAACGAAAAATATATGTGCTTTTTTAAAATTTCTATGAATTAATTTTTTGAATCCTCTTCAACATGACTACTCTTGTGACAAGTAAAATTCAGATAGTGATAATATTCGAAGTTCTTTTTTAATATTCTAAGCAAGAACCAACCTTTTAATGCAACAATGCTCAATGCAAGGTCAAATGGGAACGCCTTTTTATTAATACAACATATTTATACTTCTTTGGCGGAACGATGTTTTATCGTATGCTATCGGCAGCTTGATATTAGAATGTGTTACCTCTAATTTTAAAATTCATTGATGGTGCCTCGAAAGTGTTCAGAAGAAAATTGACCACATTCTAAGCTAGGGATGTTATGGAGCAAGTAGCCCTTTAGTCGAATTATACATAGAATTATAAACCTTGTAGCTGCGTGCCATTGGCTTTATTGTTAATATAATATAAATGAAAATAAATGTGCATGAAAATGAATCATAATCATAGTAATAATAAATGAAAACATATAAAAAAGCCCATCATTAAATACCCTGCGCCAGCCTGCAGTTGTTGCGAAGAAGACCTTTTCGATTTGCAGATTGCTTTCGCATGGCCACGACTTTGTATGCGCTACATATTCTATAGTGCCTGGTTTGCCTGAAATGGTCAAAAAAGTGGTCTGATCCGAATCATTTTCAGTAGCGTTCGTATCTGCGTCAAAACATTTCAGGCGGGTTCAATAAAACCTGCGTCATCATAATATCGCCAAAAATTTCTGGTTGAACACAATTAAACAACATGAACAGATAGACGGATAAGGTGAGATTTAGTATTTAAAACGTGATTCTAAACCAATAAGTATAATAAGAGGTTGATCTATATCAAGCTCTTCTGTATGTTGCATACATCCGCATAAGCGTAATCTCTATTAGTACTACAAGTGGTGCAGGATGCAATGAAATGAAAAAATTGTTGCAAAATAGACATTCGTCGTCAGAAAATAATCGGCATTAACTTGTTGATCCCGTAGGTCTATTTTTTAGATATCATCTCTTATAGTCACTACCCGGCTTGATAAAACAAAGCAGAAAATCTGAATTGCGTGTATAGAGTCATGAAAACAATAATAGCTTGCAAGCTTATGGTGGGAATATCATCGTTTAAAGGCTGGTACAGTCTAAAACTCAGAAGGATTGGTCGCTGCTCATTCTAAATCTATTCTGTGACCCTATGAACATATTGAGTAAAGTGTTGAGCCTTTATATGGGAATTAGGTTTAATTTTTTTTATGACTTCTTACCAAAAATATAGTCTCTTATATGGTATCAAAGGCTAATTTTCAACACTAGGGCGAAAATGGCTGAGGAACAATAAGATTTTTGACAAGAAAATTAATTTTGCTAAACAGCCCTATGTCAGGTGGCATTTTAACCTCCTTTACCATATGAAGACTCTTAATAAAAAAAAATACGCCTTCATATGGAGGGGCAACAAGGTACAATTTTTGGTATTTTATTTGTAACATAAATGATGAATTTTAAAAAGTCATAAATCGGAGGTCGCCCGCCCTCTTATTGATCAACTTATGTTTTACTCGTTTTTATTTGATGGCAGAGTGTTTTTCAAATTCTTTGTAAAGTGAAAATGACTTTTGTACATTTGTTTATTGTTATTAAAACCAGTTCTGTCCAGTTCTCTCTAAGGCTGCTTTAAAAGTTTTATTTTTAACACATTTTTAGTGATCTTATTAGCAATAAACTCTGGTAAAAAAGCCGGTTTTTCATTTTTAGGCTTAACTGTAATAAAATTTTAGCAAAACGAAAAACGTACGAAAGGTACAAAAACTAATAAATTTCTGCATGTGTAGGCTGTCAGTTGTTGTTGTAATGTGTCTTTCTTGCGTATTACTTACTCAGTCACAATTTTTCCTTCAGCAGAATTTGTGATCTCAGCCGTTTTTATAAAATTTGATTTGCTTTCGCAATCGTTTTTGCTTTACTTATTTGGAAAAACGAATATTGTCAGACCATTCAATTGTACTTAATGCGTTATTGTTGTTGTTGTAAAATCATGTAAAAAGTTAGGAGAGTGAACGAACTTTGACTAAAGGGTTAGCTTTTTTTCTCTTTCCATTTTTTTATAAGCACGTAATTAATACTATCTGACAGCTGGATTCCTTGATCTAGCGATATCAACTTTAATCTATTCTTAATCTAATTGCTGTCTTTTATCGCTTACGACGATATCCAGGGATTGTTTGTTAAGAGTTCGACTGCGGCTGCATTTAAACTTTAAACCACTTGTGTTGATATCTATATAGTAAACATATGGCTTTTGCTTTTTGTGTAATTTGTCTTATGATAATATATCTTATTTATATATATATATGTATATATATGGACATATACATATACATATAGAAAGAATCTCTTCTTTAACCGCGATAATACTCAAGTTCACGGTCGTATTAAGTAGCTTTAAATATAAATATAAAAAAAAATTAATTGCTCAAGAGGAAAGACAAACAATTTAAAAAAAAAAATATGGTTAAACATTTTAAAAGCAAAAAAAAAAAAATGTGTGTAATTACATAAATTCATTGCACGTAAATCAACAATAGAACGATGAATTCATGAATGAGTGTAAACTGCTAATCTAGTGGGAAAAGCTTTGTGCGGTTGAATAAGAAGAATAATGAATAATTTAACCGCAAAGCGTAAGCGAGTAGAAAAAGGATGGCTTAAGAAATAGTGGAAAATAAGTAGCGTTTCATATAAATTATGATTATTTTCATTATGAATTAATTATATTTTTTTTTAATTTAAACATTATTTGTTAGGTTAACAACTGCGGAATCGAGTTTAAACTGTTAACCTTATACCTTTTGGAAGATTTTATTATTGCCCTTACAATACAATTTTTCCTATGGTCTAGCAAGCTGATAAAAAGATTATTTTGGAAGTATTTCAAGCTACGAGCTTTTCTTGACAACAATCTTAAGTCCATGTTATAAGACAAAAAAGTGTAAGCCCTATAGTGCACCACGGCTCCCTATTAAATATCCTACACCATTCTATCGTCGAAAAAGTGGTCCGATCTGAACCATATCTAATACCGTTCCTCCACGTCAGTTATTTGCATGTGCGATTGTAGCCGAAGACGGGGAAACCAAAGTGGAGAAGTCACCGAGAGTGTCATCCACTTGCAGACTTCGTTGCTAAGAATTCAGTTACCATGGAGGCACAAAATTTAACAGATGCGCCTGTGTGAGTACAGAATAAAACGATGGGATCCACGGCCAGGTTGTCCACACACTCTAATACCATGAGTGCTGAGTCATAACTAAGTAGGAGTGGTAGTGCTGCAAGATACTATGTTGGAAACGGCGTGCGAGATCTGATTATCGAGTGTGTGTTAAATAATTAGAGGTGAACTATACGCACCGTCTTACCCAACGAGGA